CAGAGCTGAGCACACAGGATATGTATCCACATTGCTGAAAATACTAACCTTTGAAGAGGCTTATGTATTATTTTCCATTTGAATACTAGAAGATAGCTTTCCAGGTCAATTTTTAGGTATTGAGTGCTTTCTATGACAAGCCAAGCATTTGAACTGCTTCCAAATTCTCTTCTGATCCTTTTCCTCTGCCCAGAAACAAACTCAATTTTCTCTACACAAGAATAAATAAATAAAAATCTCTCCTTGCCTCAAGATCTCCCTCAATTTACTTCTTATCTTCCTCCTTTCATTTACTAAAATCCTTTTTGAAGGCATAGGCTACTTTTCTGAGTCTACTTTCTCAATTACATTCGCTCTCTAAACCATTTTATCTTTCATTCTCCTTAGTTAAGTGAACCTGCCATACAAATAACCACAATGATTCCTCAACTAAGTACTACAATGGCCCATTTTTCAGACTGCATTTATGCAACCTCTGCTATTATCTTCCTGTCATCAGTGAGGCTTGCTCCTTTGTTGGCTTCTAAAAATCTGTTCTATGCTCTTCTTCCAACTTCGATGAATATTCATGTTGGGTATTTTATTAATTCCTACTCCTCTTCACACATCTTATATGCTGTACATCAGCTTTGACCCTTGGTCTCTTTGATATTTTTCATGTGAATGAGCATTCTAGTTTGTCTCATGCACTTTACCTGACCAACATCAACTTCATTCACTCCACCTCCTCCAAAACCAACTAAGGAAAACACACACACAAAAAATATATGTTCTTCCATTTCATATCTGCACTCACAATATAAATTAGTGTTATCACATCTCCAAAAATGTTTAAGAATTATTTATTATTATTATTTTTATATTTTTCACAACCATCACATCAAGTCCTGTTTCAAAATTCCCTTTTGAATTCTCGTTTGCAAAGCCTTAATGCAGATCTCTACCACTGCTTGCCTGGCAAGAGCATTGTTACTTACAACTCAACCATGAGAGGATTTTTCTAAATGTCTCTATATATAAAACCCTAATATGCAAATAGACCAAACTGCAGAACAACCAAACAACCAGTTGCTATGATTTGCACTGACCACAAGGGGGTACGTGTGGAACATGGCAGATGTCAACTGCAATGGGATGATGGAACAGGTGAGCAGGAGCGCCAGACTATGGGAGGGCACCAGTCACTCTGATGGTTACTGAAAATTCTTTGCTCCTGCACACCACAGTTCCGCTGGGTGCTCACACCAGCTGCTGGCACCAGCCCCACTCACATCTGCTGCTGGTTCCCGGTGCAGGTCCCAACTGCTCAACACCATTAGTGGTGCAAGCGGTGGCTGCCAGCCCCAATTGTCCCTGAGAACTTCTCCACCTCCCCTGCTCCTAAGGGGTGATCGGGGCAGTAGCAGTCATTTGTACCTGCAGAAGCCTCTGGCCCCAATTGCTCCCCATCCTCAGTGGGTGCAAGTGGGGCCAGCGCCATCAGCCCATGGGAGCAGAAGCAGCAGGAGCAGGGCTGCCAGCAGACAGGGCACTGGAGCAGGAGGGACTGGGTAGGGGAGTGTAGGATGGGCCAAGTCCTACCCTGTGCCCACTGCAGCCTCATGGCCCACAGTTTCAAGGTGCACAAATTTGTGCACTGGGCCCCTAGTATGAATATAACCCTGTCAGTCATATGTATATCATTCTTCTTTGACTTTTTATTATTCTGTGCAAAACTTTTCAATGTGCTACATAAAGGTATTCACAATCAGCTTCTAAAATCTCTCTTTCTCTCTTTTAAATGTATTTTTATTGATTTCAGAGAGGAATGGAGAGGGAGTGAGTGATAGAAACATCAATGATGAGAGAATCATCATTCCACTGCCTCCTGCACAGCCTTACTGGGGCTCCAGCCCGCATGTGCCTTGACCCAGAAATGAACCATAACCTCCTGATTAATAAGTCAATGCTCAACACCTGAGCCACATCAGCCTAGTTCTAACATGTCTCTTACATTCCCTGTCATGTAACCCAGGCTTCATTCACATCCTATTTGCTCTATTTGAAATGCCTTTTTTTTCCTCCTTGCTTTTTCAGGAAAATTTCTATTTTTTATTGAAAAATTCAAATGTTAACTCTCTATTAATACTCTCTTTGTCCTTATAAAGTCCTAATTATTTCCCCTTTGTATTTCCACCATACCCTGCCCATCCCTTTCAAATTGCTTTGTATGATATTTTCATTTTATTTTACTGGTTTCTTTCCCCCAATAGAATGTGAGGTCCTTGAAGGTTATGTCTTTTTTAACCTTAAATATATCTGTATAATGCAGTATCTGATAATACTAGTCCTCAATAGTATTTACTGAATGAATACATAAATAATATCAACATTATAAAGTAATATATTTTTCCAGTTTTTCTGGCAGAAGTGCAAGAGTTAATTCACCTAAGATGCAACCAACTTATTTAGCCATATGTTTAAAACATGACAAACTGGAACAAAGTCATCATCTTTTACTCTACTTAAAATTGAAGACCATTCTCACCCACACAAATTCTATCAATAATTGAGTAAAGAGTTGAAATAAATTTATAATTCATTCTATAATGAGATCATAGGCTTTGAAGCATAGACACCTCTTTGCTGTGGAATCAGCAGTACATACCAGATCAATAAATGCAAAAAATTCTTACCTTGTTCTTAATTGACTTTGCAGAAAGATGAAATTGTATAGCAATATTTAACAGAGCTGATATACATAAATTGCTCTGATTTCTCATGAAAGGATAAGAGATTGAAAGACCAAGTCTTATTCATTTGTATATGTTAAACATCCATATGGAATTATAAGATATCTAACAAATTATGGGTTACTAATTTTTGTCAAAAGGTTATCCTTTTTGAAAATGTGATAAACTCTTCCTCACTGAAAGATTATTTGTCTTATTCATCTTTAAAGGTCAGGGCTGATGAAGTGACATAGAATATGAGGAGTTTAATGAATGTTTTTTGAGTCTATAAAAGAAAAAAGGAGAAGTGAAAGTAATTACATTTTATATGTAAATAATCATGTATCCTTCAAATTAGGGTATCAATGTTTTTTGTCCCCAAAGATCATCTCAGGTAGGTGTTTTTTTTCCCCTCACTTTAACTTATATCTCAATAATTCGGTCAACAAATATTGAGTCCACATTGTATTAGGTAAAATAAGCCAGTTACATAAAATAAATATTGTAACTCCAGAAATGTCCTGCCAAATTCACAGCTAAACTGTTATAAAAATGTAACTACATCTAAAATGAAAATGCTGAGATAATACGGGCAATAAACCTGAAGTGCCATTGTGATGTAGGTAGAGAAGTGGGGAGGTTTTAAAGTAAATAGGATGTGTCATATTTCACTTTATCTCCTATTGGTTGAGGGTTTGTAGTATACAAGAAAAAAATGATAAATAAAATAAAGTGAAGAAAAAAAAGGAAAGAATAGCATTAAGTGTTTGAGGTAAGATCCCAGTTCTAATCCCTCTACTCGCAGCTCTTGAACACCCTATACAAGTTGGCGCCTTTCATTTTTGCTTATAGACACCCTAATCTAGGCTGTTCTTTTCCGTCATGTTATCAAAATCTTATTCGTCAAGACCCACCAAAATGCTATCTCTTCCATGAAGCCTTTATCTTCATTCACTGTCAAAATTAACCATTCTTTCTTCTGTGCTCACAATGTTTGATCACTTTCTCTTTCTAAATGTGCTTTCCAAGCCTTGTGTCATGTTATTTGATAAATAAAATCAAATAGATCTATGTGCATGACCTTCCTCTTTCCAATTATTGTATTCAATAATAAATAGTATCATCTGTCATACTTTCAATAATGAACATAAATTAAAAAAAAAGAAAAAAATCAGTGTTGAAAATTTTTGTGAGGAAAAAGAACATTGATTATTTTAGAAATTTAAAAAAATTGATTTTGCAATAATTACATCAAAACAGAATAGATTTTCCTTGACCAGGTAGATCAGTTGATTGGAGTGGCATCCCATACACCAAAAGGTTGGAGTTCAGTTCCCAGTCAGAGCACTTACCTAGTTGTGGGTTTGATCCCCAATAGGGGTGCAGTGGGGGGGGGGGGGGGGGGGGGGGAGGCAACCAATTAATGTTTTTCACTATATATTTCTCTCCTTTTCTAAGAGCAAGAAAAAAGAAAGAAAAAAAAACCTTGGGTGAAAATTAATAAAAATAATAATAGTAAGAGATTCAATAACATTTTTTAACACTGAAGTAATGTGTTTCAGGTAAGAATTGGCATTTCATTTACATAAGAGTCACTGTTACAATGGGGCAGAGAGCCCTCTTCCTAAGAGAGATTCCTGACTCCAGAAAGTCCCCTCAAAGACAGATAAAGATAGAAATAGAGAGACATGCATATATACTATTATGCATCTGTGTGTACATTTCATGTATGTATACATTTGTATGCATACATGTGTGTGTGTATTCATATCCCAGACATTTAATTCATCCTTTCTGGAATATTCACACTCGCCTCATCTCATGCCTAATAATAAAATCAAACAAGAGTTAGGAAGATCAGTCTAGGCCAGGTAGCTCAGTTGGTTAGAGCATCATCCCGATATGCCAAGGTTGTGGGTTTAATCCCAGGTCAGAGCACATATAGGAGGCAACCAATAAATGCATAAATAGTGGAATAAAAAAATCAATCTTTCTCACTTCCTCTCCCTCCCTCCCACTACCTTTCCTCCTTCTTTCCTGCCTCCCTTCCTCCCACTATCCTCCCTCCTTCTTCCCTCCCCTCCATTTCTTTCCCTCAAAGCAATCAATTAATCAATAAAAAGATCTAGGAAGATGGAAAGATATATTCTTCACCACAGGGAAGCTTTCTTCAACATCTACTCTGGTGACTGACTAAGACAACCTTAACATTCCCCTCAGCTTAACTAGATTTATACAGGTTTCTTTCTGACTATAGACCCTTGACCTCCCTTTCCTTAGATCATTTACTTTGGAAAACTTGAATTGTAAATTCTTTCTCTGCCCCTTTGAGATGAAATCTTCTTCATTCTCTTGCTGGAAGCAATCTCTTTTAAATGTAATCAGGAAAGATAGTAAGTACCTCTATCACCTTCATCTCTGTGGGAAGAGAAGAGTCTAACTTAGATAAATGCCAATTAGCAAACAGAGATGGTCTGGTCTGATCACATTGGAAACTTGTCCCTTACATACTCCAGTACTTTTCCATTAGCTTGACCAGTGCTTATAAACTCCCTGCCTTTTGTTTCAGTGAAATTGAGTTCAGTTTCTCTCCCCTATCTCAATAGCCTTGACCCCTATTGCAGTCGTCTTGAATAAAGTCTTCCTTGCCTGTTTAACTTGTCTGGTGCAATTTTTCTTTGACATGACAAGCTGAGCAAGCTAGTAGACTACTGTGGACCGTTTAAGTACAAGTTTCCATGTGTCATCCTCTATCACCCCTTAATAAAAGTTAAACTGGAATGACAGGTTGTTAATGTTCCCCACCTTTATGATTCCATGGTCATATGCAAAGGATAAGTGGAAGAAAAGAAACCCTACTTACAGCTTCTGAGGATTAAATTAAATTGAAGAAATAGTCTTAAATAAGTTAATGAAAATTACTTTCATTTATTAGTTGTGTAACACTTCTCTATCTTTTAACAGAATTCAGCTATAAATATAATCTTCATTTTTATGATAATAGTGTAATAATTGTTCATATCCAGATGCTTTGATTAAAGTAATTTGATTTACTCCTGGGTAGTTTTAACAGTTTAGAGAAGAGAATGGCATGATTAATTTATCTCGACATCATAGCATTGTGACATTTTAGCCTGTTCATGTATCTACAAATTAAAGTAAGTACAAAACCATCTGTGGCTGCCCTTGAACAAGTTGTGTATCCTCACTTCTAAAATACGTTTTCAACCATTACATTATAATATTCTACCTAGTTCATTTTCTTCCAGTGTCTACTGTAGCAAACAAAGAGTAAATAGTAATTTATGATAATGTGTCATTACTAATTACCAGAGATTTTTGGGAGTATAGGGGTAAAACCAACATAGAAGATGGAAACAAAATATATTCAGAGTGACATTCAAGAATTCATAAGACATGTTCTGTGAATCATTTATAAATTATATTTGATTCAGGCATTCTCTTTTAAATCATTCTTTGAATGCTCTCCCTTTGGACATTTCAGGATAATTTAATTACAAGCTACATACAGAAGTGACCTATTTTTATGTATTGCTTGTGGTACAAAGAGAGTAAAATATAAATAAATTTAGTTATTCCAGTTTGGGAAAGCAATCCACAAAAGATTTTCTATACTTCTCATCTAAGTAATATATTTAAACAGGACTATAAACAGGATTCTAGATGGGATTAAGATTTAAAAATTTTAATTGTATTTCTTTTAAATTCAAGGTAAGTTCTCTTGACAGGTCTTTTATCTTCTCAGAGTTCAATGTTAAAGACATAGGCCAAATTTAAGTGAGTGCAGTTTTGAAATTCAGAACCAAAGGAAAATTTATGCCTCAGTCGTAACAATAATAGCCTCTGTGTAGTGAGGTAGTAGGAAATGTTATATTTCTTTCCCTTTAGAAATTTTCCTGTGTTAAATATGTATAATTGTGCAATAAAAGCTAAACATGCTCCAATAAGTTAGCAGAGGGTTATTCATCAAAAAATTTGTGAACACATTGTAATCGTTCCTAATACGACTCATTTACGTTGTCAGCTTCCATTCAGTATGTACTATATTCATCATCTTGATTAAAGTTACTTTTTATACTAGATGATGCAAGGTCACATTATTTTCTACAGAAAACAAAGCAGAGCAGCTATTTGAGACACTGTGCTCAGACATTACTTTGAGTTGTGCAAAATGAAGGTAATTTTTGAATATCAACTAATGACTCAAAAGTGGCTTGAGGTCCCGCAATGGTTCCCCACTGTGCCCAGAATGAAATTAAACAGTTCCCACAAGGGCCTGCAGATTGTAGGTATTGCAATAATGATATTCAAAACAGGTGCTAACACTAATTGAGTACTCTGTTTCATGTTTCATGCTAACTGCTTTGCGAGAATTAACTCACGTACTCTTGAAAACTGCCCTCTGCTGTAGGTATTATTATCCCCCCTTTTCAGATGCAGATGCATGTCACGTGTCTGCCAGGATGAGATCCCGGTGGTTCCTTACAATTTTTTTTTTCTGTGATTTTCTAACTCTGGGCCATGTTTACAAAGTTAGGAAAAAAGGGGGAGCTCTTAGAAAACATTTTTTTTAATGAGGCTAACAGGTTATCGACCTTGTCAATTTATTAACAGGAATATGTTAAATTACATAGTATTTCACAGTTCACAAATCACTGTAATATGCATAAATTCACCTGTTCCTCACATGAACTACAATACATGCAAAAGGAAGCATTTTACAGATGAGGTAACTGAAACTTAAGTCGTTCCCCAGTGGCTGTACAACAGCGAACCAAGAGAGCTCACACTCAAATCCACGTCCTACTGACTTCTGCTGGTGTCTCTCCATTAAGTTATAATATTAGCAATTCTCTCTAATTCACTATATTATTATCAGTTACCAAGAAACAAATGAATTACAGTTTGGGGATAAAGTAAGAGTGTTCATTAGATTGCTCTACTTATCAAAAGTAAGCCAATAGGCCTGGCCAGTATTGCTCAGTGGTTGAGCATCAACCTATGAATCAGGAGGTCATGGTTTGATTCCTGGTCAGGGCACATGCCCAGGTCATGGACTTGATCCCCAATGTGAGGCATGCAGGAAGCAGCCGATCAATGATTCTCTCTCATTGTTGATGTTTCTATCTCTCTCCCTCTCCCTTCTCCTCTGAAATAAAATATAAATATAAAAATAAATATAAATATAAATATAAATATAAATACGAATACAAATATATACATATACATATATATGCATATATATATTTATTTATTTATTTATTTTTTTTTTTTAAGTAAGCCACTGGCATCTTGTTGAAATCACAATGAAGCAGATGAGACCTCCTTGTCTCTCCCATAAATCCAGTCTGGCAAGGCTTTGGACACTGGAGAAATCACACTAGTGCCCAGTGGACAAGACAGAGGCCAAGCTGCCAGGGCAGTTTCCCCTCAAATACTGAGCTCAGCATGGCATCATCCAGGATAGGAGAGTTTATTTACTTTCCCATGTTATGCACATCCTAAGAATAACACTGTGACATCTGTAGGCTAAAGATCCAATGATGCATTTCAATCACACACTGTAAGTTCCCACTTTGTCTGTTGGGTTTGAACACTCCATGTGAAGCTAAACACCAAAGAAAGCTATTTGGGGGATTGCTGGACCGCCATGAGGCGGAGAGTGAGGCTTTAGTGACCTCTCACTGCAATCTCTCCATAGGAGCTTTACTGCCTTAGGTCAAGGTCTGTTCCAAATTCAGGTCACAGAGCCTCCTAAATGCCTGCTGGACCGAGCTCTGAATTTTTGTGAGTGTCACTCAACCAAGCAGCTACACCAAAGTAGTCACAGAAAGATTTCATTCTCGCCAACAATTTGCAGTGTACCCAAAGGCACCAGAAAATGTAAGCTTATAACCTGGGGTGATGGTTACTGTTGCTCATTTATGGGTTTCCTTGAAATTTAATATATAACTCTCAGCTCAACACATCACCAACATAACCAATTCCCTGTATTTAGTCCTCTGTCATTTATTTTCCTAGTTAAACCCCGATTGATCCATCCAGTGATCTCCTCTAGCTCTTCCCTCTCTTCCTTTCATTTAATTGGTTTATAAAGTGGCTAGCTAGCTTGCCTCCCTTCACACACACATGCACGCACACCTGTACACTGTGGTGCTATCTCCTGTGTTAAAGAAACAAAGGCAAGCTTCTGTGGTTTGAAACAGATGGGTCAGGTGGGTGGATCCTGAAGGGACTGTGTCATCTAATGCAGTGGCTCTGAACTGGGAGATAGCCTGCCTCCGTCAATGGAACAATGGCTGGAGACAATTTTGATTATTACAATTTGGGTGGGGAGGTGCTACTGGATCTAGTGAATAGAAGACAGGAATGATGCTAAACATCCTATAATGCATAAGACAGACTTCCCACAAATTCCCACAAAAATGAGTTCTCAGGTCCTGTTCCAATGACACAAAACTCTTTCACACTGATAGACACTTGCTGTTACTTCTGAGCCACAGGTCACAGAGAGACTACTTAGGACCTACAACCGTTTATGGAGATCACATAATGGAGAGCTTGCCCAGAGTTGTCAGTGGCAATATACAGTTCATGTGAATCAATTTGCATAAACTAGTCTCACTACAGACTTCTTGGTTTCATTGATAGGCAGACTGAGAAGAGAAAAGAGCAACATGTATCAAAAGGCAGTGAATTTTCAGCTAAGAAACTTTGTGTTACATATTTTTTTTAAAAAAAAAAAATCTTACCACATGATTTCCCAGCCAGTCTGTGCAGCCACTGATAGATTTTTTTTTTAATAAAATACTTAAAACAGAAAAAGGAATCTGGTCTGAGCCTATGTGTTCTTCTCGAATATTTGTGACTTTTTCCTCCACAAATGGGAAAATGGCTAGTTGGCTCTCTACCACATTTTCTTTTCTTTATTGTGTATTCAATCCTCTATTTTCAGGGTGATGTTACAGACATGGAACTGTGGCTGGACCCCCTGTACTGTATGCACACCACCAGCTGTGAGGCCTTAGATAACCACTTTCTTGGTTAAGATCATGGTTTCTTCATGGGTCAAATGAGGAAGTTGAGCTGCTTCAAAGCTCCCTTCCTGTCATAAACTTTATTTAATTATATATCACCAACATTTAAGTAACATATTGGCCCATTAGGGTCCAAAATTTAAATAAGTGCAATAAAAGTTTCCATACAGGATTTGTTCATTCAATATGCAAGACCTAATAAAGGAAGGGAAGAGGAAATGTTGCTAGACCCATGCTCCATCCTCCTAATCTTGTTAAAATATGTATGAGTGTCTCTGTGAGGTGTCGATGGACTATTCCAAATGGACCCAACTCATTGCTGCTCTCCTCTGACACCTTGGAGTGAGAATGGACCCCAAG